AAATCGTGTATTCTGTAAATTCTAAGTAGTAAGTACTATAGTGGTTACTTTCAAAGACACATTCCAGAGAATTAGCAAAATTAAATAGCCAAATTCAAAGATTCAAAGTTGATTGTTTTGGTTCAAAGAGATTTGGCTACCAAATCCCAAACATATAGATTACATTCCATACTCCAGAGAATTAGCAGAAATAAATAGCCAAATTCAAATGCCAAGCAAGAATAAAATCTTTGTTTCTGCAGTTGTAGAGTGTGTGGAATAGAGTGAGATCCACGACCAAATAATGACATTACTTGACAAATTTTTAATTGCATGACTAGTTAATATATATTATCCAATTAATATGCTTATATTAACATTACAATTAATACGTGTCAATAATAAGTTGATTATCATTGGAAACCCTTATATTAAGAGAGATCTGCATTGACCGGTCATCTAATAGCCACAAGGATTCATCATGATCAACGCATATATATATATACACAAGAATTTCAATGAAAAAACTTTAACTTTGTATACATATATATGCACGAGTTTCTAATCCTTCTATATAGTTATAGTTACCAAATGTCTAAGCAAGAGACACGATTTGTTTAAAGTGGTATATGAATATTGAATCCAATGAGTTTTTGTAATTTCCCGTGGAATCCAAAGCTTCGACATGCATATAATTAATGAAAATAAAACGTTGGATATAGTATATAATATGATAACGGAGACTGCAAGTAATTGAGAAAATAGTTGTGAAATTGATCAATGGAGAGTAGATTATTAATTTATTTTGTCGTTAACAACTTTGATTATATCTATTATAGACACAACTCATGAATATCAACATTTCAAAAGTCTCGTATGATTCAAAGATTGAAATTTAGATATATGTGTCGTTTGTGTATATATATATAAAGCATATGAGGTGCTTTTTTCTTTTTTTAATTACACATTTAATAATATGAAAATAAAAGATAAAAAGGAGAGCAGACGAATATTAGAAGAAGCCTCAGTGACTTTATGAGCTCACTTCATTGCCTTGGGGTGCCTTGCTTCACCATTGCGCCATCTTTATATTTGCATTTTTTTTGTGTCATCCTTGATCATTCGTATTATAAACTATTATTCTATTATATATCGAATTTAACGGTCTTTAGTCCGGATCTAAACACCTTGAAATTCCATAATATTATGTATGTGTGTCTAACCCAACTTACAAATTTCTAGTAAATGATTTTTACCAAATAATGTACACCGATTTATGAAATTCATATAGTTTTATGTTTAGGATACTAACGAATTTTGAAGATTTGAGATATGATGCAATGTTGGAAAGAGGACAAGAAAGATGGATGCATTGGATAAAGGAAAAGCCTGAAAGCACTCCCACAACTAAATTTGTTTTCATTTCTTTTTAACTTTTTTTTTTGTAACATTAGTTCCTTGGAAAAATATATGTAAAAAGAACATTCGCATGTTCTGATTTTCTATCCATTTCCAAAATAGAGCCGACCAAAAAATTCACTATAACCCAATAAAAACAATGTTTATAAACATAAACCATTATTTTAGTTGGTATAGAACTCATTTTCAATAGTTTTAATTTACATTACGATTTGCTAATGTGATTCTTTCTATCTTTTTGTTTACTAGTTAACCGCATTAGCTCTACTTAAACCGTTTAAATCCAAAACATTTAAATATGATGCATGTTATTTCTATATGTTTAAAATTGTTTAAATTTATTAATTGACCCGATAAAAAATGTTTATGGGTATGCCATATAATATACTTTTGCATTGCATGTAAGTACGAACTTGTGAAAATCAAAGACACTATAATCTTAATATATGATTAGATTAGGAATGTAACTTTGGACTATTAAATAACCAGTGTAAGATTCAAGGCAAGAATGGCACCCTATATGAGGAGGTTTTCATATTTACGTGCCTAATTAATAATGTGAAACTGATTAGCCAATTTAGAAAGACACAATTATGTATTGGGGATTATCTATTTTATTTCAAAAAAATTAAGAAAAAACAAAAAAGAGAAAGCAAAGAGACACACATGCAAGCACGTGATGAGTGCATGTCTCTCAGAGTCTCACGCCATGCACATATCATCATATCATCTTCATTTTGCTTCGTTGACTCTCTCTCTCTCTCTACTTTTTCCTCCTTTTTGTTAATCAATATATATGTTTTAAATTATATGGGCTGAAATGAATTTAACCAGCCCACTAAGCCTCATTAGTTTAGCTGTTTAGCAGTCAGTTGGGCCATTTCTACAATGGGCTTGAATATTAATGATTACGTCATCTAGAAATCCAAAATCTGCAAAGTATGTGGCTAATGTGGAAGGAGAGGCTTATCTGCTTCTCTCTTCCAGTGGTGTTAAAGCTCTCTATGTGATCCTACTTGTCATGATTTATCCTCCTCCATATATCATCAAAATCTCCAGAACCAAAACCCTTTCACGATTTCGGGATTAAGCTTTCGATGACTACATCAATGGCGTCTTCTTCCCTTTCACCTGCTACTCAGGTTCACTCTCGATCATTCAAAATCGAAGCAAATCTTCATGGGTTTCTTATGTTCGTTCACTAGTTTTGGGTTCATCGATTTTACAAATTGGGTCTGTTTTACCTGTTTTGAGGGAAGATTTGATGACTTGGGTTTGTGAAA